TGCTGGAGTGCCGGCCGGCGCGTCGCTGCGGCGTCTGACCGTCCGTCCGGGGTCGGCAGGCCGACGTACGCCACGCCCCGCGTGCTGGAGAAGGCCGGCCTCAAGGCGCAGGACATCGACGTCTGGGAGTTCCACGAGGCCTTCGCCGTGAGTGGCAGCGTCACCCGCGCTCACAGTTCTGTTGTCGACATAAGTTCCGTTCTGTGGTTCTGATTCACTCGTTAGCACTCTACCGGACTTCTGGCGTGCGGTTTCAATTGCGCATGCGCAAAGGCTGGACAGATGGCGCTGGTAGCGGCGCCCGGCAGGGTTGCTGTTCTGTTGGTGCTGTCTCGCTCAGCGCGCCATGCCGGCTGCCGTGCTACAGGGCCACGATCGGACCCGCAGGCGTGGCCGTCTGGGCTCCGCTGTCCGTCCCAGTGTCGCTGTGGGGAGCCCGGCCCGCCCCGTCACCCGGCGTCAGGTATCGGTGTTGACCCGCGGCTGACCAGACCCAGCAGCGGTCCGTAACGCCGGCCCCGCCCCGTGCCCCGGAGCCAGGTCTCGGTGTTGACCCGCGGCTGACCAGACCCAGCAGCGGTCCGTAACGCCGGCCCCGCCCCGTGCCCCGGAGCCAGGTCTCGGTGTTGACCCGCGGCTGACCAGACCCAGCAGCGGTCCGTAACGCCGGCCCCGCCCCGTGCCCGGGAGCCAGGTCTCGGTGTTGACCCGCGGTTGACCAGACCCAGCAGCGGTCCGTAACGCCGGCCCCGCCCCGTGCCCCGGAGCCAGGTCTCGGTGTTGACCCGCGGCTGACCAGACCCAGCAGCGGTCCGTAATGCCGGCCCCGCCCGTGCCTGGGAGCCAGGTCTCGGTGTTGACCCGCGGCTGACCAGGCCCAGCAGCGGCCCGTAACGCCGGCCCCGTCCCGTGCCTCAGGGTCAGATCCTGGCCAACATGAAGGCCATGGACTCGGACTACTTCGCCAAGAACCAGATGGGCCGCTCGGCCAAGGTGGGCGCACCGCCGATGGACAAGTTCAACAAGTGGGGCGGCTCGCTCAGCATCGGCCACCCGTTCGGCGCCACAGGTGCGAGCCGGGCCGGCGCCCCGCCGGGGCCCGGGCAGTGCGGCCGCGCACCGCCCGCTGTCGGACCCAGCGCCGGCGTTTTCGGGCGCTGCTCCCGGCCGCCGCGCGGCGCGGCAGCTCGTGGCGCTGCAGGGCGGTGATGGGCAGGGCGGCCGCCAGCTACTGAGGGCGTAACGATGAACACTACCCCTGGAACCCCTGGCGCGTTGGGCCGTACAGACTGCCCCATGGTGATTGCTTTATTTTTCATTACTCAACTCAACATTCCTAATTTGTTAAGCGCTGCCAGCTAATTGGATGTCGGCATGCATTTTGGGTTCTATTACATACAATTGGGTGCACTTATAATTGGGTGCTGTTCATGTACCCCGATGCATGCCAATAAAATTAACCTACACCACACTTGTTAGGTAGATATTTTGTGTAATATTCGCATTCCCCCTAACACACGTTGTTGAGACATGTGTTGCCTCGGAGACAATAGCAGGTGCTAGATAACCCAGGGGCGGGTGCCGCGCCGCTCGACCGGCCGCCGCGGCGGGGCGGTAGCGCCGTCTGACGACGTGTCTGGCCGGCAGGTGTCCGGCTGGCAATGCACGCCGCTCACCGGCTCATCAAGGAGGACGGCAAGTACGCGCTCATCGCCGCCTGCGCCGCCGGAGGACAGGTGAGTCGTCCGTGTCCGCTCGCGAACGGTGGGTCATCCTCTCCTGCTCCCTTCCGGCCTTGGGTGGCGGGTCAGCCCTCCCCCGCTGTTGGGTGGTGGGCCGCCCTTCCTCGAGCCTTGACCGGTGGGTCAACCTCCCGTGCTCTCTTCCGGCCTCGGGCGGCGGGCCACCCTTCCCCGCTGTTGGGTGGTGGGCCGCTATTACTCGAGCCTCGACCGGTGGGTCACCCTGCTCTGCTCTCCTCGAGCCCCGGACGGCGGGTCAGCTCTCTTTTATCCATTGGCAGTGGTTGGTCCCCCACCGCTGCACGGCCGGCGCCTCTTGGTGTATGGAGGCGGGCCTCTGCTCTCTCTGCGACGGGTTCGCCATCCGCAGCTAGCCTACTGTCCCGTCACCGTCTATCGGGCAGCTTTTAGAACTGACTGCCGAGCCGCTGTGCGTATGATGCGCGTGACGTGTCGTCGGCCGAGTCCCTCACCGGAGGTGGTGCCGGGCGGCCCGCTGGCGCCGCCCGGCCCGGCGGCGGTCCGTGACCGGGCCTTGACCTGACGGGAGCCTCGCTCGGCAGGGCGTGGGCATGATCGTGGAGCGCTACCCCGGAGCCGCCATGTGAGACGCCGCCCCGGCCGGCCGCCTCTGTTACAATGCAAGTCGCCTCTCCGGAGGCGGCCAGGTGACGCGTCTCCGGGAAGGTGGCGCGGTGTGAATGCGTGGGATGCGGGCGATATCTGATTATTTTATCAATATAGTGCGGAATTGGTAAGCGTGATTCGCAGCGTGTGAACGGGCACCGTACTGGACGTGGCGTGCGTATAGCCGTTCGTAATGAATTGCCAGCGATTACAGGAACATAAACAGATGGTGGCGATTGTGATGCCGCCCAAGTACGGGCCTCGTGTTGAATTGTCATTCGCCGAACCAGCCGGACGCTGTGTATATGTTAGCAGCATCCGTAAGCCGCACCTGATGTTTGCGCCGGGCGCGGCGGGGTAGCCACAGACCAGATATGTGATGACGTGCGGTCTGCCGATGTGAATACAGAGACCGAGCCCGTGCAGGGCGTGTGCGCATCTGCGACGGGGCAGGATGTCGGAGCGGCGGGGACGCCTGACACCCGTCAGGACGTACCAGGCCGCTCCCGTGGGGTCTCGTTCGGTGGTGTGTTCCGGACGTCTCACCCCCGCGCCACGCTGCCTGGAGTCGCTCGGCCGCAATGGCATGCGGCCACGGCCGCCGTATCGGAGGCTGTCGCTCACGCTCCGTCGCTGCATCGCTGCACAGTTTGACCGCGGAGCAGATATGGTGTGTGTTGCGGCTGCGCCCTAAACTGGCGCGGTGTCGACGTCTGCGTCCCAGCCGCGGATTGGTCCATTCCCGGACCGCACACCGTCCTTGTGCGATCTGGCAGCCGGTGCGCCGGCCAGAGCCGGGCCTCGTCTCCGGCCGTGCGGTTTGCGACACGAAGTGACCTCGCCACTCGCGGTGGTTTAACACTTACATCACCGCTCACATCGCAATGGCGCTTATGCATAACTCAAAACCGAATATGATGTATGCTCCGGACGTGGGAGCATGACATTTCTCCTGTGCCTTTAAGACGACGCAGTGGAAAAGACATTTGGGACAGGCATATGCTCCGCGTCCAGCAGAATAGCCTAAGTAGCCGACGCGCTCCATTATAGCAATCACCACGTTCGTATCCGATTCGTATGTATCAATCGGATCAGGTCCAAGTTGAGTATGTCATATAATGCAAATGCTCCATTATACCAATCACCACGTTCCGTATCCGATTCGTATGTATCAATCGGATCAGGTCAAAGTTGAGTATGTCATATAATGCAGATGCTGCAATACGCAACGCGTTTTCTCGGTATGTTGTGACTCGGTCACAGTAGACTAGGCTGGTCAAGTCTTTCTCGTGGATGTACCCTCCCCGATTGTGCCCAGTGAGCACGTGCGCACATGTTGCGAAATGAGGAACGCGCTCTTCCGTATGGGGCGAGAGAGCTCACCTCCGTCAGAAGATGGCACACATTGGACAGCCAACGGAGAGAAGAAGAGCTCGCAATTTATCATCCGCCCGCATTCTCTACGAACTTGCAAGGTGGAGACTGTCCCGTTTTTTCGCGTGTCCAAATCCGTTTGTGGCCTGTCAGTGAACCGGTCTGCCCACACAGGTCCGACTCGAAATCCGGTACGCCTCCTGTTCTGTCCCAGCGCGCTTTTGTTTCGTTTTCCCTCATGCCACGCTAACTGTCTTCTAGCGTAATGGCATCGCCACTTTTGCCAGTTGTACAAAGCCATTGTTTTTTACTTGGCTGGGTTCCCCGGCCTCCTTACTTGGGCTCTGTTGATGGAAATGACTTAAGATAAGTGAGCACTTCTCCCGCTCGGAGTTGCAGTGGCCGGTCTGTGAGTGCTTTCACTGGCATTACACGTGCTGAGCTGCACACGGCCTGGCTGCCAGGTAACACGACTGGTCCTGCTCGGCACCACCGGTCGGCATCTCGCCTGCCACATTATGCCCATTGTTGTCAACCGCTCATTGTTATGCGCGAAGACGGTCGTCCGTCCGCACTCACGGAAGCTTACATGTTCAATTTACGGCAGCGATCAGATCTTTATCCTCTCCTACGGGCGGAGTGATAACTCCCGCGGATTGCTTGTGCGCCGCGCTAAGCTGTGCTGTCGAGATCCGACTCGCGAGCCGTGCAGGGTGTCTATCACACCCCACTCGACGCTGTAGTCTTACCCGGGCGGTGGCCGACTGTGTCAAACGCCGTAACGTCGCCGGCGATGCCGGGGCGCGCTTTAGCCCTCCGCTCTGCATTCGTTTACACCTCATGGGTCAGTGAGTACGTGTGCTGTGCTGAACCCGAGCCGGCACGATCGGCCTCAGCCGGCCAAGCTCCGTCGCAGCACCGAGTTGATCAACACCATGACTGGATGTCGAGCCATATTTTGATTGATACGGGTGTCCTTGGCGCCGAACTGTTGCAATGCGTGCATGCGACGCCTCAAACGCGGCATCGTAACATGATAAATTTTGCTGATCTACTAAACGAAATTAGTTTCGCTGATAATGGGTGCCATCACGCAGTTTCTATTGCTGGACAACCAGTGTGATCGTAAGCGAAATTCTGACAACAAAAATTATAGGAATTCTGGCCAGATTCGTGCATCCTCCCAATCCGAAGCAAATGTACTAACTTTAAGCGAAACAGTATCTTCCTCCCGCCCGAAGAAAATAGCCGGCATCGTCAACTTCACATTATACAAATAGTTTTATTGGCGATTTTGGTCGAGCATTACGTGTGAACCACCACGCTCTGACAGACTCACATCTCACGTCACAACAACACAGACCGGGCCCGAACGAATATAGCAAAAATAGACTTCCCACAACTGAACAACGGGGCGGGGCCGCGCGCCGCCCCGGCGCGGCTGGTCTCCGGGGCCGCGGCCCACCTCCCCGCCCGGCAGCAGCCGCAATTTATCGCGCGACTACGTGGCCGGATACATATAATTACATCACAAGTCATCTCTCGCGCGGCCGCGTCGAAGGTTATTTATAAACATAGATATGGACGCGCAAAGGAAGCTTACAGCCACGCGATTTGACAACTATTGCCGTGGCCCTGTGCGGCCGTGGCGGGGCGGACCGGCGCGCTGCTCAGGCGGGGCGCTGCGCTGCCGCCAGCCCCGGCGTCGGAACCAGAGGTCCTGAAAGACGGCCGGTCCAACCTTGAGACTAGTGCACCATCTATCGCTCGCGCTCACGCTCTTGCTGCTCTCACGTCGCTCCGCCGCGGGGGCGGCGGGCGCCGCCAGGAATGGACAGGGAATCGCGTCAGGGCCGCCGTCCGGCGGCCGGCGCGAGAACTACAAGTTCGGAATAGCGCCGGCAGACGACGCTCACAGCACCAGGGTTTGCCTCCGCTGGCGGGCGCTTGGCTGCGCTAGACTCGAGCTGCTCCGACCCTGGTCCCGGGTCAAACAGATGCCCGGCACTGAGAATATTGAAGCGTCTGAAAATGAACGGGACGGTGTAAGGGCCGGACCAAGCACATCGTACATGATAAAACTTCCTGAAAAGGCAGCATGGCAAACGGCCGAAAAGTGCCCTGCAAAAAGTGGACCGTTACAAGCATGCCTTCACCGACCTAACGGATGGCTGACAGGCGAATACGCCAGCCCTCAGGCTCCGAGATCATAACGTGACATGCACATAGGCCTTATACAACAATGGTATAGACAATGATCTACAACGGCTTGCAAAATGACAACATTTTTGCACATTATACACATCTCCAGTTTACTATGGGGCCAAATACTACCGCTCAAAGCTTACACAATCCACCAGACCGACTTAGAACTCACAGCGCGCAATCATGGCTGATGGAATGGCGCGATCTCGCATGATTCAGATCATGCCCAGTAGCTGTGCCCCGACAACCCCTCCGCCGCCCCCGTTGGGTCTCTGTCCACGTGCCTTATGGTCTGACGTCTTCGCTGGGCCCGCCCATTCGCCCGTAAGCCTGTTAGCCTGTAAGCCTATGAGCCTGTCCGCCCGTCCGCCGCCCTGCCGCAGTGCGTCATCCGCGCGCGGCGCCACTCACCATCGGGTAGTGAACGCACGCCGGGCCCCAGCGAGCTGAAGTAGGGGTGGCGCATGGCGCCGGCCGCCGAGACGCGCGCCGCCACCTCGTAGCGGAGGAACTCGCGCAGCAGCGCCAGCCCGTCCGAGCCCAGCCGTGGACAGCGGTCGCCCAGCGACTCTGCCCGGCACGTCGGGAACTTGTACTGCTGAAACTCCTCGGTAGATGTCACCCCGGCCCACGTCTCCTCGCACGGCGTGCCGAGCGTCTTGAAGATGAGCGTCAGCTCGTCCTTGACGGTCGAGCCGGGGAAGAGCGGCCGGCCGGCAGCCATCTCGAAGAAGATGCAGCCGACACCCCTGCCGGACGGAGCAGGGAGCATGTGACGCCTGCTAGCGGGGGAGGGGGGGAGAGGGGGTGGGACGCCCACCCCACACAGGCGAGGCAGCGGCAGGGCGACGGCCGTGGCCGTCAAGGCCGCGCGATGTCCACTCTCTCATGCACGAGCGCCGCATCACCCGCATACCAGGAAAGCCTGGCGCCACCGGAGCCAGACCGCACCCGCCACCCGTGGCCGGCCGCCCCGGTGGCGAACCCCGGCCGGGACCCCGCACAACTTAAGCAGGGCTCGCCGCGCGGTATAAGCCTTGTGGTCTCGGGATAACCCCGGACGGCTTCCGTGATCACCCAGTGTCTTCATCCGCCTCTTATTCCCTCTGAAACTGACCTTCCAGGCCTAACGTAAGCCCAAAGCTCTTAGAGTTCAAACGCGACTTAACGAAGCGAACGGACTGCGGTCAGCGACAACGGGCGCTTTCATAGCCCGGGCCTGGTTTCAAAACATGAATCGAGCCGCTCCTGATTCATACCACATGGACATAATAGTCATAGACGCAGTTATCACGACACGTCGTGACCCAAAATGACTCTCTGCCCCACAGCTGAACTTCAACCCGTACATATCTGACGCATGTCTTCAAAAGGCGGGATTTCAAAGTGCAAAACACGTCGTCGTTTCGTTCGACAACACTGGACCCCTGTTCGGAGCGGAGCTCTCAGTGACGAAGTCCGCTGACGGTTTCATCGCGGCGCCATTTGTAAGGCGCAGGCGTAAGACCCGATAAATCAAGCCCCACCTCGCAGCCCCAGTTGCCAGTCTGGTCACGCGGGTGTCGGGAGACCCGCTTCTTTGGTTGAATGAATGGCTCGCCGCCAGCGCCGGCCCCGACGTCAGTACAAAGCGCTGGTCAACCGATTCGTGCCCGAGACGTGTACGCCGCCGACATATCGCCGCCCGTGTGACGTCAAGCTTGGTGGCGTTTACGGCATTGAGGCAAATATCACGTCGCTCGTTGCTTAGCAACGAGTAGTATGGCAGCTGGCAGTTGTGCTCTCAAGATGACACGACTCTGGACCCCCAACTTTACATGGCAAAAGCACGAATGAAGCAAGGCCCGGGGCAAGGCCAAGCACAATGGAACTAAGGATTGATAGATGACAGCCTATAAAACCATTCTGCAAACGCCAATAGCATAATCTATGACTTCCATTTATCGCGACCATGACCACCTCGAAGCCATGCCCGACGCTGCAACTTTGCCAACTACGATTCCAGTTTTCATATTCGAGCTTGCTTTGTCCTACTGTGATTCGGCTACCCTACTCGTCACTTGCACAGACCTGCAATATTTCGCAACGACGTGTTTAATCGTAACTTGCAACATACGTATACATCAAGCTGGGAAATCACAGCTCGCATGAAATTACTGGGCTCCAAAACCATCAAGCCACTTTCATTTCAAATCATTTCACTTTTCCGCGCGCAACCATTCAACGAATGAAATATTCATTACACTGAAATTGCAGATGAAACATCGTCTCCCACACTAATGTCCTACTAATGAAGATCGAATAAAGATGAGCAGTTAATGTCTGGCCCAGTGGCAAAGTATTCTCCTTTCCAAGCCCTTGGCACACTGGAAAGGATCGCAGACTAATTCGTTGAAAGATGAGACCAGCTCTGCTGCGCCCGAGCGGTCCCCTGATTAATGCCACCCGAAATGCTTCGAACAAGGGAAGGCAGAGCACGACCTAAGTGTTGGAAACTTAAATCTCCACCTCAGATGACAATCTGAGGATGATCTTTGGAATTGGGTACTAAAACCGCGCGGTTGCCGGCAGATGCATGCTTGCAGATGCCTCACGAGACCCCCCGCTATCACACTCGTCGTAATCCACCCCTGCATGTGGTAGCACCACCTCTCCACCTATCACACGTCCGTCGACGACCAATCCAGCCCCACGCCGGGGCGAGCTCCCCGTAGGTCCACGCCGCAACATCCCCGCCAGACATCCATCGCCAGGCCGCCGACCCAACAGCAGCCACCAGCGCCCACTCACCACATGTCTATGGGGGTGGAGTAGACGGTCGAGCCGAGCAGCACGTCCGGCGGTCGGTACCACAGCGTCACCACCTCGTTGCTGTAGGTCTTGGTGGGCACGGACTTGGCGCGCGCCAGCCCGAAGTCGGCCAGCTTCAGCTCGCCCAGCTGGTTGATGAGCAGGTTCTGCGGCTTCAGGTCCCGGTGCAGCACGCGGTACTGGTGGCAGTAGGCCAGGCCGCGCAGCAGCTGGTACAGGAACAGCTGCCGGCCGGGCGGAGCACGCGCGTCGTCAGCGGACGGCACTGGCCAGAGCGCGCTCACCGCCGCGGGCGCGGCCGCCGCGAGTTAGAGCAGCTGCGAGCCGTTCCGGCTGGCGTGCACCCTCGCCTCGTCACATGTCAATAATCGACACAGCCTATCAACGACAATATCCCACGAAGCTAATGTTGACACGGTGACAGACAACAATACACAGCACAGCCTATGCCACGGCCAGCTGACCTTGACGTTGTTCATGCTCATCACATTGCTGCAGTCCTCCATGTACTGCTTGAGGTCCTTCTCCAGGAACTCGAACACCAGCGTCATGGACGTGCTCGTGTTGCACACGTCGTGCAGTGTGACTGCAACAGAGGGAGACCGTGAGCCGCTGGACAGCGCCAGAGGGCGACTCGGACCTCACGGCAGCACGGCGGCAGAACTCGCCACTAGCAGCGGCCGGCGCCTCCGACACGCAGCTCCACCCACGCCCGGCACGAACGCAGAGCGCCCTGTGACCCGAGCGCATGTGCTCTGGTCGTGCCCACTTGCCAAGTTCCAGGTATAAATACGCCGTTCGAAATAGTTGGGCCAACATCGGGCGCACCGTCGCTAACGCTTTACACCTGCCGCACAGGCCATCCCAACCGCCCAGGGATTACACGCGCAGCGTCTCGGCTTTCCAGCGCAAGGAATGCAGCGAACGCTTCACACCGCAGCAGTGACTCAGCGCTCAGTTCACGCCGGGTCGCCCGCACCCATCCCACGGGTGATGAGCGCGCGCCGCGCGGCGCACCGCCCCCGGCCCGAGCACCAACCACAGCGGCCGCGCCGTCAGCTGGCCACGCCCACCGAAGCCGTGACCGGCCGGCCGCCGACGCAGGGCACAGCTCGACCACCTCTCCAGGCAGATCACTGCCACCAGAAGCAGCCGCTACCGCCTGCTTCCGATTCATGCGCGACCGAAAAATAGCCAGCCGCCAGTATCGAGCCCACACTCCTTCCGTCACCAGGGCCGGCGCACTGCGGCGATCGCCTCACCGATGTTGGCGTGCTTCAGCTTGCGCAGCAGCGAGATCTCGCGGATGGCGGTGCAGGGCGCGCCCTCCTCGTGCTCCAGGCGGATCTCCTTCAGCGCCACGATCCTGTTGGGGATGAGGCGCGACTTGCCCTTGTACACGGTGGCGTAGGTGCCCTGCGGACGGGGGTGGGCCGGGTCAGGGGCGCCGGGCCCGGACAGCCAGCCCCCCACACTGCTCGCCTCTCCCGGGGCGTGCCGAGCCGCCGGGCTGGGCCGCCGGCGGCGGGCTCTTACCCAGCCCCGTCACGTACCGGCCGGGTCGGGCGGCGGACCCCGGCCAGACGGGCGGAGGGGCACAGCGGAGGGGGACGTGACGGGGAACGGCAGCAGGGCGGCGGCCGGCCGCGCCACCGCAGCGTCCGCGGCGGGGCTGACCGGTCCGGCGCGGCCCGGCCGCCGCGGCCGCCACCGCCGGCCGTGTACATGCAGCGGGCTCGGGCTCCGTGCCAGGAATCACAGCCGTGGCGATGGCGCGCCAGACCGGACCTGGCGGCGCGATAGGGCGCCCCGCCTGGCCGAGCCGGCGCACACACGGCCGGCCGGGACACACTGCAGACGGACGTCCAGGCCGCTGACCCTGCACGGCACCGTCTTCCGATAATCACGCCTGCGAGACCAGACCGCATGCGCCGGCCGCCGCCGCCGCCGTGGACTCCTTTTCCGAGAACAGTCGCAAATCACATGCGACGCGGGCGCAGACGTCGGCGTCCCAATCTCAGCTCGCACTTACAGGCCAGTTCGAGCGAGAACCGTTGATGCAGCATGGCACTCGCCGCCCGCTGCCGGCGTATGAACAGAATGGCTAGGCGTGAGCACACTGATTGGTGGAGAACAGCTACACAGATAAGGTGGTATACGAACTACAAGGCATGACGATAGCTGGTGATGTATGACGCACGCCAGCGATCTGCGAGCCGGTGACTCGTGATATGTGAGCTGTGGAACGTGAGCTGATTGGATGCGAGCTTCTGGTGCGTGACTTCATGGAACAAGACCTGGTGAATTGGTGGACCTGTAAGCCTGTGATCTGGTGAGCCTGTGAGCTGGTGAGCCTGTGAGCTGGTGGGCCTGTGAGCTGTTGAGCCCGTGAGCTGGTGGGTCTGTGACCTGGTGAGCCCGTGAGCTGGTGAGTCGGTGAACCGGTGAGCCTGTGAGCTGGCGAGCTGGTGAGCTAGCGAGCTGGTGAGCTGGCGAACCGGTGAGCTGGTGAGCTGGTGAGTCGGCGAGCTGGCTAACCAGTAAACTGATGGGCTGGTGGGCTGGAGAGCCAACGAGCTGGCGAGGTGGTAAGCTGGTAAGCTGGTGAGCTGGTGAGATGGTGAGCCAGTGAGCTGGTGAGTGGTGAGCCAGTGAACTGGTGAGTTGATGAGCCTGTAAGCCAGTGAGCCTGTGAGCCTGTGAGCCTGTGAGCCTGTGAGACGGTGAGCCGGTGAGCCTGTGAGCCTGTGAGCCTGTGAGCCTGTGAGCCGGCGGGCGGCGTGCCTCACCTCGCCCAGCTTCTCCAGCTTGATGTAGGTGTCCTGCTGGCCGAAGCCGATCTCGGAGAGGGACTGGCGGCGCGTGGCGCGCGTCAGGCTACCGTCTAGCGTGGGGCTCAGCGACTGCTTCTGCAGGAAAGACTCGGGCAAGTGGAGGTCGGCCGGCAGCGACAGCCGCTTGTTGATCTCCTGCGACAGACACGAGGCGCCCGGTCAGCCCACAGTTACATCGAGGTCAGGAGCGGCGATGGTGCGCGTTACCTGATGGCGTGCGGTGTGTTATCTGGCGTTAACACACTGCGGCGCTAGCTCAGATAAACAGAAGGTTGGCAGACCGGTGGCGCCGCCTAAGCCTGATAGCGAACTCTCCGCGCGAAACAAGCAGCGCCGAAACAACACGGCCGCCTTTGAACCACCGATGCTGGAGGAGCAGTACCGGCACCATCAGAGGCGTCTGAGGCAGCAGGCGATGGCGGCGATGTCAGGACCGACCAGGGACGTGGCGCCTGAACCGTGGGGGCAGACATGGGTCGGACGCCGGCCGACGGCAGGGCTAGGCTGGGTTGCTGCCGATCCGGCCTTCTTCGCTCGGCCACCGCCGGGGCGTATCACTATGGGGCGTCACGGACAAGAACGCCTCCCCGCCCCCGCCGCCGCCGCCGTCGCCGTCGCCGTCGCCGACCTGTGTGACCTCTCCCCCCCCCCTGCTGACCACAGTGTGTGTGTGGGGGGGAGAGGTGTGAAACAGCCACGGTCCGTGGGGTCCGTGCCCGGAAACGCCTCATTAAGGAAGCGTTTTTGACATGACCTTCCTCCGAGCCTCTGAAGACTACAGGCGGAGTAGGCACTGCCAGAAGGCCTTCCCCCATAGGGCCTCCAGTTTCTAGTTATTTAGTTACACTTCCAAATGGCCTACATCCAGGATACTTAGACCCAGAAGTATATCTGTCTGTCTGACTTTCCAAAAACGGACTTCACGAAGACGAACCCTCTTTAATACATCCTCTGTTCGCAGACATTTTGGCTATTTCCCTTTGACGAAGCTTTTTTATCAACAGCTTCTTGGAACAAACCTGAAGGAACGAGTCCTGCTGGACGACGGCCTTAAACGGAGTACTTCAATGTGTACTTCTTTGTACTTTTTACTTATTGTTAGATCAGACGCGTTCGATTTTATCGGAAATATCAGCTTTTTTCGAAACCCTTTGGAGCAGCTCAGAATTTCGATTTGTAGTAGCCGCTTCTACGGGAGAGATCCTATTGGACTTCCTGATCACCACCACGAAAGTAATGCATTTTACATGCCTTGCTTCTTCGAACGTGTGTGTTCTGTAATGTTTGCAACACACTAATTCGCGACGATGCTTGTGTAATAAATGCAACGAAAGTTTGAAATGCTCTGTTTACAGGAAAAAATATGCGCAAACAGAGGCTCTAATCCGCGAATTCACGAAACGTTATACTATGACTTTGATATCTCCCATACAGAGTCGCTCTTTTCGAAGCGCCTTTGGCTTTGGAAAACAGAGTACCACATGGTCTATAGCGACGCACTGGTTCAAACTTCAGCCAATGCGCTTCTTGGAAACTGGCCTTTGCCGTCTGCTGTGCCAATCACAAACGCTCATTTGCACTGACGTCATGCATACCAGTGGAGGTGCCACTCTTATTCCCGCAGGCCCGCAATACGCGGATTTTAATAGCTCAAAAGTGGTTCCTGTAACCTGACAACGGCCCTCAGCGCATTCTACCATTGTTATGACGGTGGCGGTCGCGCCAACCGCAGCTGTTGCGGACTCGCCATACATTCTGGGGCTGCCGAGAAAGGAAGAATTGTAGTACTGTTAAAAAGTGTCGGCAGCGTAATTTGGATTCCAAGATAATCGAAATGAATGTCCTCATGTCTTGATGACACTGCAGTGGTACTACCCAGCACTCTCTTGGGCGTAAATGGTCCTTATATTTTACGGGAGCACGCTTTTGAAATGTGCCTCAAAGGTGGGACACTCCTTTGTCCGCAGACTCACTAACGTAGACCCTACTAAACGGGCCCTGCGAGATTCCTGAACGCTGTCTGTCTGGCAGTGGGTGTTTTAGAAATACGCCATCTCGCTGCAGATATACTCAAATCAGATGTCGTGGGCGTCAGCGTTTTGACAGAAGGCCATATGGAAATACGGGAGACCTTCTGGTTCCGCCCGATGACAATGAATGTTACATGAGCTATTTGTAGATCCTCAGATTTACATCGCGGCACCCGCTCATCAGAGGCCAACCATTCATGGATAAACACATCAAGTCGATTGGTAGCTCAATATTTTCAGGCTACGCTGAGGTCAATTCGCGCACATGGAAAAGGTTAAAGGTCAATGGCAGTCAATTCAATGGAAGATTACGCCAGACTTTCAGTGGAAAACTTCTTTGCCCCATAAAGCTCCTTTCACATCCTCGTCGCCTGACTCAGGCCTAAAGCGCTGAGTCCGTGTCCGTGCACGCCCCAGTGCGCAGCGCTGTCAGGCTGCCACTCGGAGCATTGAGAGGTATCGCGACACCGCCGGCCGTCCTTGCTATCTGACGCAGCTGATTAACGTCGGCCGCGCCTTTCGCACAAAGACTCGCCACACGTCTGCCGGACCATCTACGGGGGGACGAGCGACGTGACCCCGGGGCGCGCGGGTCGTTGCCGGCGGTGCCGAGGGGCGGCGCCGGCACCGGCTCGGGCAGTCTACAAGCGGCGGTGACGGAGGCGCCCCTTCCGGCGCGAACGGCGCGCCCACCGGCACGTGCGCGCGCATGAATCACCGGGCGCGGGCGGACCGTGCATCAGGCCGGTGAATCAGAGGGTAGAGCAGTGCGTGTCGGCAGCGCGGCGGGTCAAGCCGCCAGATGTCGCGTCGGCGGGGGAGCGTCAGCGCGCCGGGAGCCGGCGCACATGGCAAACGGGGCGGGAGTGCGCGACCCGGGCGGCTCAGGCCCGCCAGATGGGAACACAGGCCCCCGCAGGGCGACGGAGCAGGGCAGAGCAGAGGAGGCGGCGAGGGAGAGCAGGGAGACGGACGGGAACAGGGTGAAGGAAATCTATGGAGATGGAGGGGGCGAAGAGGGAGAGGGGGAGGTAAGGGAAAAAAAGAACGAGATGAGATAAGAGGAGAAGAGCGGAAAGGAGAAAAGGGTGGAAAAGGAGAGAACGAGGAAAATAAAAGTAAGACGAAATAATGTCATGAAGAGAAAAGGAAAAGGAGACTGAAATGGAGAATAAGAAACCGACACCTGAGGGAGACCAGAGCAGAGGCTCCGTCTCCCCTCCATTCAAGCGGGAAGGGAGACGGAGACGGGGATGGGGACGTAACAAGGAACAGCAGGAGAGAGCAAAAGAGCCATCAAGGCAGGGGGAAACATCGAGAGATAAATGGAGCAAGTGCGATAGTGATCGGCAACTCGCGAGATAACGACAGCGAGAGTGATAAACGGCCAGCGAGCCACACAAAGCGGGGGAGATACGGCGTTATAAAGACGTCAGTTTCCATTAGTGATGATGTGGCACGAATGGTAATACCAGCGTGAGCCTCCGCACATCCTGTCGCCACCCCGCACCATTAATTCGCTGGGAGGCAGACCAGTGTATGCCTGTGCCAGTGCCAGCGTCGCAGCCAGCCCTCCCGCTAGCGCCCCAACCAGCGGTGCAGCTAGCGGTGCAGCTAGCGTCGCAGCCAGCGCCCCCACCAGCGTCGCAGGCGACGGCGATGGCGGCGGACCGCTCCTCACATTGACATTGGGTCGCCGCTCCCGGTCGCGGCGCGGTCGCAGCTTGACGTGGACCGGACTGGTGACCTCGTCGGACGCGCCGCTCGCCTCCTCCGACTCGCCATCGGAGCCGATCCGGGGGTGCTCGTACACAACGCCTGCGGCAGAGCGGAGCACGCTCGTCAGCGGACCATGCGGACACAGCGGACACCGGCAGCAGACATGCGGACACAGCGGAGCACGCCCGTCTGCGGACACATGCGGACACAGCGGACACCGGCAGCGGACACATGCGGATACGGCGGACACCGGCAGCGGACGCAAGAGCGTCCAGAGGCACGGGGGCGCGACATCGGCACAGCGGTGCTACGGAGGTAAAGCGGCCCCACAGAGGAACAAGGGCGCTACAGAGACAAGTGCACAGGTGCCGCAGAAGCCACGGAGAGACACGGGTACCACAAAGGAGCAAGGCGGCACAGGGCACGAGGGCTTCACAAACCCATACGGGGCCGCAGAAACGGAAGGGCGACGCGTGAGCGCAAGGACGTCACTGCAGCATGCATTTGTCACGGCGGAACAAGGACGTTTCAGCGGCACAATGGGAGGCGGGCGGACGGCGAGAGGCGGGCGGGGGACGGCCAGGCCGCCGCCGGGGGCGGACGGACGTCAGAGTCAGGCAGCTGCGCTCGCCGGGGAACAATGGTCCCCGGCTGCCGCTGGCACGGAGTGGGAGAGGCGGCTGGCTCTGAACGTGGTATTGATCAGGCTCGCCAGCCGGCAGCCGTAGCCGCTGGGAGGAGGAAGTAAGCGGAAAGGTCACGAGGAGATGGACGTGGAACGAGGGCTGCGACATTTGCCAGCTCTGGGACTTACAATTTGACCTTTTAGGTCCTGGATAACACACACTCATGACAGGACATAACCCAAGCCCCCAAAATGTCGGTGCATTACGATGAAAAAATCCACCGCTGTGCCTCTGATATCTACTCCAGGATGCGTCGTTAAAGCTTGCCAAAACAAACGAGCATACGTCCATCGCATACGCACCACGCCAATACGAGACTGTCGCTTCCAGTGCGGCCAACGGAGCGCGTCCAGACCCTATCTCGTGCTCAACCGTGTCAGCGCGCGCCGCCGGCGCCCGCAAGTCGGCCAGCGGCGGCTTTGGTTACCAATCAGGGGCGCGGCCGGCCGCCGCCGCCGGTGTCTGCGCCAGCACGCGGCGTCCGCTCAGGCGGCGTGGCACTCTCGCTGGGCCCCGCCACGAGTCGGCGCCGACCCGGCATCGGTCACAGGCTGCAGGTGGCGGGGCTAGTCTCACCGATCATTCGAGGGGCAAACTTGCGCCGGTATCGGACTGGACCCGGCTCGACGTGTTTAGAAAAGGTCCTAAGCTCCTGGTGCTCGGAATTTCCACCGCTAATGACGACAGCGCCATCACAATGCAAATAAACGGCTTTCGATGCAGGCGCAATTAATCGCGAACTTCATTTTTTGCCCTGGTCTGATCATTTGCCGGTATCTAAACCGTCCGCCGCCTTGCCCGGTACGCTGCACGGGTAGTTTATTTCCACGGTGTCTGTCGTGTCATCATCAGCATCGAAAGCATACATTCCGGGCGCGCGTCAGCAGCCGCCTTCTCAGAGGACGCGCCGCCGAGCCCAGGCCCGTGCTCCGCTCCGTGGGCTGCTGAGAGCGGCGAAACAGTGCCACACATGTCACGACGACATGGCATGCACACAGCTGCCGCTGGCCTGGCGCGGTGGGAACCAGCTGTGGAGACGAGCCGCCCCGGTCCCTGACCCGGCTCGAATGCTTCCGACGCCGGCTCGCTCACGCCATGTTACATCAAAGCCATCGCCATGCGGCGTCGGCCGCTGCCTTCTGAAAACGCAGCGGCGTGGTATGCCCCACTTTAGCGATCTGGCATCCGAAAAACCCGTGATGCAGGCTCCAAATGAAACATGGTAAGTGAATGGCCCGATTTCTTGATTCGCAACATAAAAAGGTGTTTGACGGCCCTTCAAGACCACGAGGCCAGGACGTCAGATTGCAACTGGCGCTGTTGACGTGTAGCAAAGGGCGCCAGCTGCGCCGTTTGAGTCTGACTAGAGCCCGAGTCAATCAAGTCCAATCTGCTGGATCCCACGACTCCCTGCCCCCACCGGAGGGGGGGGGGGGGCTTGGCGACGGTCCAGCCTACAGCACCGCCGGCGTGCTCGGCGCACGCTCCCAAGCTCCTGCGGCATTGGTGCTCGCGTGAGCAGACCGCAGAGCCGAGGATATCCAGCAGGGGGCGGCCCTTGATCGCTGAGAGCTGCTCGCACCGGCCGGTGCATTTCCGAACGCCTCGCTATCTCACATCTCGCCAGCGCCGGGAGGAAATCCTGGCACTCTCGCCCCTCCGCCGGCCACCAGCGTCTTCCGCCGCTCAATATCGACCTCCCGCGTCAACACGGCCGGCCGAGGCCCGGCGCCGGCGGTGGAGCGCCGCGGGCGGACGGCGAGCGTCGGCCCGCGGCGGGGCGTCGGAGTCCGCCGGCCACCCATGCCCCTCGCTGCCCCGACCACCCCCGGGCAGCCCGCCGCGTCACCTAGCCCGCGCCACCGGGCAAAAAAGCCGCGCAAGGCCGGCGCTCGGCTGGCGGGGGCGTCAGCTGGCGCCGATGACGTCACGGTGTGCGTCACCGGGCGCGCAGCAGATAACCGCCCGGCCGGCCAGCAGGCGGGCACGGCGAGCGGACGAGAACGCGGCCGACCGGCCGGCCCGGAGACAACAAAGGCCGTCCGGCCGGCACGGCCGCGCCGCGAGCGCGCCGGCCGGCGCCCCATGGCCCGGCCGAACCGGTCCGCCCGCCCGCCGCCGCCGCCCAAGGTAAAGACAGCGCGGCGAGCAGGTGGCGCCGCGTCCGGTTACAGCCGCTGTGTACACGGGCGCATGCAGAGCGCGGCGGCCGCGGTCCGGGGAGGGTCTCGACGGCAGCTGCCGCGACTGCAGACGGCCGGCCGGGCTCCGACGCCGCCGCGTCAGCGCGCTCGCCGCCAGCCGGCCGCCGGAGCGGCCAGCGCCGGGAGCCCGTGTACGGCTCCGGTCAGGGTGGGGGCCGGCGCGCCCCGGCCTGTCGCCTCAGTGGAGCGTGTCCCAGGAATGCTGCCGGTGCGTCGTTCTGCACGCCTGTTTGCGGAGGGGCGCCGAGCGGAGCGCGACGAGCCCGGCCTCGCAGCCAGCCGGCGGCGCTCTCTCTGCAGTTCATGTTTCACAGCCGCCCCCTGGCTCGGCCGACGGCTCGAAGACGCGGCGGAGGCGCCGGCGACAGGCGGCGGGCACTGCAGCGGCGCTGCAGCGGCGCCGAGGCATGGCACGTACCACGGCCCACATGCGGACGCCGCCGCCGCCGCCGCTCGGCCCAGCTCAAGCCCGAGCGGGCGGCACGTGGCGCCGATCGGCCGCCGCCGCCGGTTTCTCTTCCGCGTCGCGGCGCGGCGCGGCGCGGCGACAGACACGGACCGGCGGCGGCCGGGCGGGCGCTGCCAGCCGCGGACGCGTGTCGTCCGTCTGGCCGGCCGGCCGCCGGCATATCGGACCATCTCCGCGCCGGTCGCGGCGTCATCCTGCAGCGTCGCGCGTGTGCAGGCGGACGGGACGCACGCACGGGGAGGCGGCGAGCCGGCCGGGTCGACTCCCGGAACAGCGGCGCCCGTCAAGGACGCGTCGCCTTCGGCCTGCCGTATCGGGGCTTATGCTGATGGCGATCACCGGCCGACCGGCTGAGACGCTCGCGCTTCGAAACACTTCCTCCCAAGCCACTGCAGGCTTTCTGATGAGCACGAACAAGGTTCCCCAGTCCGGCGGTCAAGACTTCGCATCGTGTCCGTGAGCGCGCCGGCAGCGTCAGGCCGGGTGCGAGCGGAGTCCCGCCGCACCATCACTGAGCTGCATCGGGCGCCACGCGAGTAGCGCCGCCGCTCCGACCTGCGGTCCGAGGGGCCACCCGCCGGCCCGCCGGCCGCGCCGCTCACCGCTCGACGTAAAGTGGACGAGGCAGGGTCAATTGAGGGGCGCCGCGGCCTCAGGGCCGCCCGGCCGGCCCGAGGACGACGGTCCGACACGCGGCCGGCGGCGGGGCCCGGCAGGGCTCGGGGCGGAGCGGGGCGTCGGGACGCCGCGTCACCGGGCGCCGCCGGCCGCCCACTGGCTGTCATCGGCGTGGGTCATCAGCCGCTGACGAGCTTCGTCCGTCGTCCGTCGCTGATGCGTGGGTCATCAGCCGCCGACGAGCTCCGTCCGTCGCCCGTCACTGATGGCGCCGCGGACTGATCGCCAGTGACTGGCCCTTGTCTGCCGGCGACGGTGACTTCGCGCAAGGTCATCGCCTGTCGGCCGTCGGGTTAGCCGCCTGGCATTCGCCGTCGGGTTAGCCGCCCACTGTTGCCAAGCGTCAGTCTTAAGTCATCGGTCGTTGGTTGTCCGTCGTCGGTCGTCGGTCGTCGGTCGTCGGTCGTCGGTCGTCGGTCGTCGGTCGTCGGTCGTCGGTCGTCGGTCGTCGGTCGTCGGCCGTCGGTCATCAGTCGTCAGTCGTCAGCCGTCAGTCACCTTCGGTCGCCGATCGTCGGGTCACCATCGGTCGTCGGTAACCGTCGGTCGCTAGTAACCGTCGGTCGTCGGTCGCCGTCTGTCGTTGGTCACCGTCGTCGGTCACCGTCGTCGGTCATCGTCGGCCGTCAGTCATTATCGGTCATCAGTCACCGTCAACCGTCGGTCGTTCGTCCTCGGTTACCGTCGGTCGTCGGTCGCCAGTAACCGCTGGTCATCACGCAGCCTTGTTGGTCGGCCATCAGTCACCGTTCGGTCGTCGGTCGTCGGTCATCAGTTACCGTCGGTCGTGGGACGTTCATCACCGTCGGTCGCCGGTCGTCAGTCATTGTCAGTCGTCGATTGTCAGCGACCGTCGGTCGTGGGTCTTTCGTCACCGTCAGTCATCGGTCATCGGTTGTTGGTCATCAGTGACCGTCGGTCATATGTAGTCAGTAACCTCAGTCGTCAGTCTTCAGTCACCGTCAGTCGTCAATCGTCAACCGCCGTCAGTCGTAAGTCGCCAGTCACCGTCGGCCGTCGGTGGTCAGCTGCCGTCGGTCGTCAGTCACTGTCAGCTGTCGG